GCCAAGCCACCACTTCTCCCCACACAATCGACTGCAACCCCATTCCGAAACCCTAAACTCCACTTAACCTTTTCCATTGCTCGCGCCGTCTTTTTTGTCTCGCTCAGAAACACCACCGCTGGGTTGTATGACCGTATGAGGTCCCTTAGTTCTCCGACTGTCGGGTCCAACCCCAGTCCCTGACAGTTCCACACAAGGATATTCATTGTTCCCGGCGGCCCCGACTCACGGGATCCGCCGATCTATCTCCCTGAACACCGATGCGCTCGAAGACTGACGACACCTTCTACCGCTTTTCACCAACCAGAGCATCGTTACCCTCCTTCCGAACTCCTTCCCCAACCGGCACCCACATCTGTCAAGGTGGTCTTTTCCTCTCACCAGAGTTGTACCAGCGGTGTTCGTCTTGCTGTCGAGAAGAAACCCCCTCTAATATGTGTTTTTGAACGTAGTACCCTGGCCTCCGGTGATATTCCTTTCGTGCTGCTTCCTCCCCGCTTTGCTGCCTTCTTCTATAGTCCCGGCTCTTCTTTGGGGTTATCACGCCCTCTCTAACTTTCTGATGAAGTTCATCTCTCAGCACCTTCTCCTTCTTCTTCTCTTGATCCTGACGTAGGTCCTTCTTTTTTCCCCGCTGCACTAGTGTGTGATTTTTGCGGGCTTAGCACCTCCTCCTCCTGATCCTTCTCTTTCCGCCTCAGCCCACCAGTGTGGGAATCGGCCGACGGAGTGTAATCTCTGTACAGGGACATGCGTGCTGGTAGGTCTCGCACATGTGCTTGCCCTTTCAGGCCACCGTCCCCTCCACTAGACATTGAACTCTCCCTACTAAAGTTTTTACTTGAATTTCCCTGCCATTGCTTCTTCTCTTGGTGACTCGACGAGGCCCTTCCCGGGGAGGCCCTTAACCATTCCCCCCACTGCGACAACGGATCCACCGAGGGGTCACAAACACCATCCACATGCACCAACCTACCACAGTCAAAACAGAAGTGAGGGACTTTTTCGTATGCAAAATCAAACCAAGTCTTCTCCAAATCGTCGGGCTTCTTCTTGAGGTAGAAACCCCGAACGAGGGGTTCATGTAGCGCGATCTTAGCCCACACTCTAAGCTGTGTTCCCCTTGCAAAACCATCCTCTCCAACATCAACTTTTACCACTTGTCCCAGCCAGTTTCCAAGTGCCTCTCCAAACTCCTTCGATCTTTTATCCAAAGGAAGATCATCAACTCTGACCCAGGCCTCGATTGCATCGAAAATCATCTCAGATGGCCTAGTCTCTCCATCGTATTCCTTCAGAGCTACCACATTGAAGTCAAACTGCCATGGGCCATTATTAAGAACATGCTTCCAGTCCCCCTGGCTTCCGAATCTGATCATGCACATATTACCTCCTAGCATCTTGAATTGGGCCTCCCTGTGGAGTCCCCATGCACGTTGCATGTCTCTCTCAAAAGCGTGCTTGATTAGAGGCCGCGGGGAGAAGGATTTGCCCACAACAGCCCACTTGATCTCGCGTTTTAATCTTGGCTCAGGTTCCTCAAACACAAACCCGGCCGCCTCCTTCTCAGTCAGCGCCAGGCCCCCATCTTCGCCGACAGGGACGCCGCCTCCTCCGTGGATTTGCCATCGGCCGGAGACTCCTAGGTTCTCCGTCCCACCTTGTCTCTCGTCTCCCCCATCTTCTGCGGTGTCCGCTTCATCGGGGTCGCTTCCACAGAAGGCGCCTTCTCTCCCTTACTCGAGGTCAACGCCATGGTCACCCCGTCAAGGAGGAGCACAAAACCGCAGGGCACAGCCGAAGTCGCAACACCGTCGCCACGTCCTCGCTGCCCTGAAGATCACCACCCGGCGTTCGAAACCCTAACCCTAGGCGCCGCCTCCCGATCGCCTCCGCGATCGCCTCTCGGTCGCCTCTTAGGGAAACAGAACGTGGTGGACCCGCTCTGGCAGCGCGCATTCTTAATACCCTAAAAAAAGCAGTAGATCACCCATGCATGAGCCGTGGCCGCTGATGATCCGCTGAGAACCCACATCTCTTCAGTTTACAGATTTTCACATGATGCAGGCCCTCTGGCTTTTTGCATGTTTTCGTGGATGTAGATGACATTTTGCAAGCTTAGAATATTTGATGTTTGCATGCATATATGTGCAAGGGAGATGATGTGAGGTAATATTTCTTTCATCAGCTTTTTGTATGAAAATAGTAGCAGAGGATTCTCTACTGGAGTATAAGTCCATTATTTGTTCCCTAATAAGAGAGCAAAAATAGTAGCAGAGTATTCTCTACTGGAATATATTTGAAAAATCATTAAATCCAGAAATTTCCGTACTATAGGAAAAAACCAGTATGTATGTACACTCAGGTGTATAACTATATATATATATATGAATTGCCATTTAATGTTGACAAAAGAATCTAGGACTCCCATGATCATCATTAATAAGAAGGGGTAAGAAATCCAATCCAATTGTCCCATGAACACTAATGAAAAAAATATTATAGTTTTTTTGCGGGTAAAAAATATATTATAGATAACAAACAACAGAAGGAAAATCAACAATCTCTCTTCACGTTGTGTGTACTAGATTGAAAATAGTACATATATTGCAGTTTCCATCCTAAAATGAAAGCCTCCGGTCTTACACATAGATCACTTTGTTTTTAACAAGAAACGTGTAGAGCCCCCAATGCTATTTTATTGCTTTTGGTACGGTATTTGTAAGATACATATAGAAAAAACTCAAATAGACCACCTCCATTGAATGTGAATGTGCACCCACACTAATAAAAATGACTAAACTTTATCATGTTCCTAACTCTATTTTGTTATATGTTGAGGCAGGTAAAGAAATATTTTATAAGATTAGCATTTTCTCCTGGAACAAATTAGGATCTTCTAAACAATTTTAATTTTAACTAAATATTGCATTACCTGTGAATGTGTTTTTGCACATAAAAACCAAACTGAACATGAATATAAATTCTTTTTCTCTCCCTTGCAAGGCACGGACATAAAAACAAAAAAATAATGTACAAGAGATCACCTAAAAGGATTAATTAGCAGTGTCTTTTTTAGCGCGCTACGCACATTATTTGGAAAAAGGCAGGCCGCCCAGGAGCTCGTCCAAAAATATATATTAAAAGAGAGTAACACGGCCGTTCTCACCGAGAATGGTCGGTCACTAGCCTTCAAATTAAGTGTTTACTCATGTGTCTAAAAAAAATGGCCAGTACTGGGCGCCGGCGCACCGGCCGAAACTTTCGGCCGGTCCAGCCCCAGTCGTTCGATTCACGTAATAATAACCGTCCAGATTGCATCTCCTCCCTTGCGCGTGGGTTAAAGCCTCCTCCATCCTCACGTACAGGCTCGTTGCCGTCGGTAGCTTGCTCGCCGGAGCCGCTCGTCGGCGCGTTCGTCAGAGCCGCTCGCTGGAGCTGCTCGTCGGAGCCGCTCGCCGGACCTACTCGTCGGCTTCCTCGCCGGAGCTGCTCGTCGGCCTGCTCGTCGGCTTCCTCGTCGGAGCTGCTCGTCGGCTTGCTTGCCGGAGCCGCCGCTCGCCTGCATGCTCGTCGGCGCGCTCGCCTGCATGCTCGTCGGAGCTGCTCGCCGATGCGCCATGTGCGATCGAACTTCGCCATGGCCGTTGCAGCAAATCACGTTGCCGGACGCAGCTTTTTTTGTGGCCGGTTGTAGCGAAAATCACGAAGCCATGTGCGATGTAGCAAAATGCGACACCGGTAGTAGCAAAATACGATGCCGGTTGTAGCATATTGTGATGCCAGTTGAAACATCTAGCAAAAAAATGTTGGTTTCAGCATCCCTGTGACAACGGTGGTCACATGTAGCAAAAAACATGGTGGCCATGCGATGTAGCAAAAAGCGACGTTAGATGTAACTGTGTGGGACGCCGATTGTAACAATTTGTGACAACGGTGGTAATATGCAGAAAAAACACGGGCCGTATGATGTAGCAAATCGTGAAGCTGGTTGTAGCTGCGTGGGAAGCAGCTTGTAGCAATTTGAGACAACGGTTGTAGCATTAGGGAAACTACGATGTGGGCTGGAGGTAGAAGAAGGGGAAGAGATAAGATAGAAAAGAGAACCATATGCGTAGGACCCGCCATGTGCGGGAGCAATTTTGCATGCAACAGTTTTGCAAAAAGCCAGGTGTGTAGGATCCGCCATGTGCGGGAGCAATTTTGCATGCAACAATTTTGCAAAGAGCCAGGTGTGTAGGATCCGCCATGTGCGGGAGCAGTTTTGCATGCGGCTGCGAGTGCGTGTCGTGCTGCATGGGCAGGGGTTTGGGGGTGAAACATTTCCCCAAAAAAATACTATTCTTCATTCGACCATCCGGAAGTCGAGCAAGAGGCTCGACGGTGTTTTGCTCCTATCCCCTCGTTTCAAATAAAATGTCGGCAGCAAGTTGTAATGAATCAGCGACATTTAATTTTAAATGGATGCAGTAGTAGTATTCTTCAGGACACTTAATTTAGAACGGAGGGACATTTAATTTAGAATGGATGGAGTAGTATTTTTCAGGACACTTAAATTTAGAAGTGAGGCAGTAGTATTTTTCAGGCGACGGTCGGAGCGCCCATGGCACAAAAGATTTATAATCTGAGCACCGGGTGCGGTCGCCGGCGGGATGGCGGCGGCGGCGGTGTTATGAGCGCACAACTACGATGAGGAAGACAAAGATGCGGTGGATGAATCGACTTGCGCTTCAGTGCACCGAGACATAGGAGCGTCATATTTCGTGCAACGTGTACCGTCAGATAGGTTCATTTCATTCGTACCGCGACCTTCCATACTCTATGCCGGCTAGTGACCGACCATAGTCGGTGAGAACGGCCAGGGCCGACGGGCGAAGAAAACTCGCGCTCACATCTTATTCAGAAATCAGTCCATGCACAAAAAGGGAGAACACAACGAACGGCCGCTCTAGGCTCTAGCACACGGCACGCAGAAGGAGGAAGATAAAGCTACCGACTGCCTACTGGATGTAGGACATGCCGGTGATGTCGAGGTCGCGGTCGCCGGTGGACGGCGGCGGCGGGTGCCTGGGCTTGGCCACGGGCTCCTCCGGCCCGTCGGCGCTCTGCGTGGCGCTGGCCCGCGGCTTCCCGGGCTCCCTCCGGCCCTCCTCCGCCGCGTACATCCCGCCGCCGTATGCCTCCCGCGTCATCGGCTTCATCTCCGAGATGTTGGGCGCCTGGTGCTCCCTCTGCAGCTGCGGCTGCCGCTGCCCGGCGGCGAGGTCGTCGAGGTTGTCGTCCGGGTCGGTCGACGGCACCTTGGGCTTCTCCTCCCTGTCCTCCATCGCCTTCTTCGCGTTGCTCGGCGTCAGCTTCTCCATCGCGCTGCTCGGCTCGGCTCGATCGGTCTCTGCTGTCACAAAACTTGGCTGGTAGTAGAAATTAAGAGTGGCTGAGCAAGACTGGCAGTGAAGTGATGGTTCAGGCGGGCTTGCTTTTATAGGTAAGCGTTGGATTGGATTGGATCGATGATGCATGGATCGGGAGGAAGACTCGCGATGTTCGTGTGCGTGCACTGCCTGCGTGCTGCGCGGTGGGGGCAACGCGTGTCGCCTGTAGGCCGGGCGAGCGCTGGCTGTGGGCGCTGTGGTACGGTTGGCTGCGTGGTACCCCCGCGCGGCGCACACCTGGGCTGGTCGGTACCTCGCGCGGCGGCGAAGGGTGACTCGTGGACGTCACGGCCGGCGACAAAAGCAGCAAGGCTTGTGGATAGAGCTGCATGTGCCTGCGCATGGATAGGTGAGCAACTGAGCATCCTTGTGCCGTGCTTGGATTGGCGAACTTCGCCACGAAATGCAACTACTTCGGGCCGGAGGAGGACCGCGTCGACATACATGTGAAGTGAAGAAAAAATGGTTGTCTTTTTTTTTTAACATCAGTACAGACGTAAGCGCTCATACATAAACGTATACACTCACCGTCATGAACGCACACACGCATATCCTAGCCCTGTGAGCACCTCCGAGAGACTGTCTTGAAAGTGGAAAAAATGGCTGTCTTGAAAGTGGCCGCTTTGCACAACATATCAGTCATTTTAAGTGAACTGTAGCGGCAAGTTTTTTTCCTTTTGACAAGTGAGAAAATCATTACTTTTTTTTAGGGATGAACAGAAATTCTATTCATCAAAAACCACAGTTTGTGGGATACATGCTGGATCGTGGGGGTGTAACAGCCACAATTGGCGCCCCTGAGCTAGCCAGAGAGTACTTTGCTAAGCTATGCGCATCGTTATTAGACCGGCGTCCTTCATACAAGATATTGTTATTAAAACTCTCTGCCCTCTTTCTGATTTCTTGAATGATCGTGTCATAAGTGCCACTAGCGTTCTTGTTGATGTCCTCCACTACCTGCTTAGCATCACATGCAATGATGAAGTTGTGGAGTGCTAAGTCTTCTGCTAGAGCATATGCTTCGCGGTATGCGATTGCCTCCAGGATAGCAGGGTCCTGGATACCAGGAACCACCAATGAGGAGCTACCCAGATATGTGCCATGCTCGTCGCGGCAGACTGCTGCAGACGATCCTTTTCTGTGAGCGGTTGAAACACCCGCATCAACATGGATCTTCGCAAAGCCCGTTGGTGGTGCCCTGGGTCTCATCCTCGTTGTGGAGCCTTGTTGGACCGCGGCTCCCGCCTGCCTTGCTGGCTGTTGACCTTTGATGATTTCCAGATCCATCAAGTACCTATTAATGAAAGCATGTGTTGCCGCCGAACTCTGAAACTCCCCTTCATGTATAGCTTTCCTTCTAGTTGTCCAGGTTACCCACAATGTCACAGCCAGCTTTAGGAATGCAACATGTGATAATGACTGAATCATCGAAAACAACCATGGTTTAGCTGCTGTTTCAGAAGTAGCCCTCATCTGATCTGCGAGCTCACCATCCACCTAAGCCCAGATGCAACGGGACATGGTGCAGTCCAGAAGCGAGTGTCTCCAGGAGTCGTGGGCGCCGCACATTCCACAAGAGTTTGTTGTGGACATGTTCCGGTGATGTCTGACATCCTCCGTCGGCAATGAATGTTTCGCGAGTCTCCAGAGGAACATGCGAATCTTCCCTGGTACCTGGACACTCCATAAAGATTTCCAAGAGCCCCTTTCCCGAGCTGTGCTGGACGTCGCCCCGGTACCTTCAAGCCAAGCCTCCCGGCGTTGCTTTGTGCAGACAAGCATCTTGTATGCTGACCTAACTGAGAAAAGGCCGTTTCTCTCAAAATTCCAAGACCAAAAATCTGAAATGACTGTGGTACAAATCGGGATACTGGTGACAGTTGGGATGTTAATGGGTAGTAGCACCTGTTGGATTCGGTTCATGTTCCAACTGGCTGTGGTAGCATCGATTAATTCTGATACATTTTGAGGAGGGTTATTTACCAAACATCCGTAAGGCCTCATCATCTCGTCTCTCGGCAGCCAGTTGTCATTCCATATATTTGTGGTGGCCCCATCACTGATTCTGCGTATCAACCCTTGCTTCAGTATGTCCCTCCCCTCGACTATGGCTCTCCATATTTGGCTTGGGTGGCTGCCGAGAGCTGCCTCGAGTATCGACGTAGCAGGAAAGTACGCGGCTTTGAGGACACGAGCACTTAGTGATTCTGGTGATTGTAGGATCCTCCACGCCTGCCTGGCAAGCAAGGCCAGGTTGAAGAGCTCAAAGTCCTTGAAGCCCAAGCCTCCCATGTCCTTTGGTTGTGTCATATCTTTCCAGGCCACCCATGCAGGTTTCCTCTTACCATCTCTGCTGCCCCACCAGAACTTGCGGATTAGCATATTTAAGTGTTCACACAAGCCTCTTGGCAGCTTAAAGCACGACATGGAATAGACCGGGACCGCCTGCGCAACCGCCTTGACCAGTACCTCCTTCCCCTCCGTGGCCATGGTTTTTTCAATCCAACCCTGCACCTTATTCCACAAGCGATCTTTGAGGTATTTGAAGGCGCCATTTTTGGAGGAGCCCACATCCGATGGCATCCTGAGTTATTTTTCACTCAAAGTTTCATTTGGGACATTGAGTAAGCCTTTGATTTCACCTCTTATCAAGTCGGGAACCCCCTTGCTAAAAAATATGGATGATTTTTCATAGTTGATTCTCTGTCCCGTGGCCCGACAGTATGTATCCAACAACTGGTGCACCCCTGAAACTCCCACTCCATTCGCCTTGAAAAACAACAGGTTGTCATCTGCAAACAATAAGTGACTAACATGCCGAAGGAGCCACTTGAAGTCCGCTCTGGTTAGATGACTCTTCTTTTGATTTTATGAGGCACGAAAGGCCCTCTGCTGCTAGCAAGAACAAATAAGGAGAGATAGGGTCCCCCTGTCGGATCCCACGTGTCGGTATGAATTGCTGAAGCTTCTTACCGTTGAACAAGATAGAAAACTTGACTGACGTGACCATGCTCATCACAATCACGACCCATTTTTCTGAGAAGCCAAGTTTCAACATGATTGCTTGGAGATAAGACCATTCCACCCTGTCATACACCTTCATCATGTCTAGTTTTAGGGCGCAATGCTGGTTCTTTTTCGCTTTGTTCCTTTTCATAAAGTGGAGGCACTCATATGCCGTTATGATGTTGTCCGTGATGAGCCTACCTGGAACAAAAGCTGACTGTTCTTCTGAAATTATGTCCGGTAGGATTAACTTCAAGCGGTTGGAAATGACCTTAGAAGCTATCTTGTACAGTACATTACACAGGCTGGTCGGGCGAAACTGTGTTAGCAGAGTTGGGTTTTTTACCTTTGGAATCAGAACCAACAAAGTATCATTGATGCATTCGGCTGACTCCGTGCCCTCCACAATTCTGAGCACAACATTTGTTACCTCATCGTCGCATACCTCCCAGTGTCGTTGGAAGAAATGTGCCGGAAAGCCATCTGGACCCGGTGCCTTCAGAGGAAACATTTGAAACAATGCTTTTTTAACCTCATCCTGTGTGTATGGCGCATTCAGGGTTGCATTCATCTCAGCTGTGACCTTGCGAGGTACTGTGTCGATTACCTCGTTCATGTTCTGCACTCCCTCCAAACTGTAAAGGGTGTTATAAAAAGCTATGGTTGCAGCCTCGAGCTCATCCTTGTTCTCTGTGATGCGGCCATCCGGCAACTGCAATGCTTTGATCTGATTTTTCCTCCGGCGTCTGCTTGCTCTCAGGTGAAAGAAATACGTGTTTTTGTCTCCGTGAGAGAGCCACTCCAGACGTGCCCGCTGCCTCCATAGGATTTCCTCTCTGTGGTAGAGCTCCACAAGTCTATCTGTTATCTTGGTTTCCACGTGTGAAGGATAGAATCTCCCTGGGGCCGACCGCAAGGCCTCCAACTCCTTTTTCAGTTTGCCTATCTCCAAATGCACATTGCCAAAATGGGTGTGCTCCCAAGTTGTTAAATCAGATGAAAGAAGGGACAACTTTGCTTGGATCCCAGCCACGCTCTCACTAGGAGCTGATTTCCATCCCGTGTCCACAAACTGCATGAGATCTGGGTGGCATTCCCAGGCTAGTTCATATTTAAAGGATCGTGGGCCACTTTTGCATGCATGCACGTGGTCACATCGGAGCAACAGTGCCGAATGATCAGATGACGCTGCTATCTGGTGTTGTAGTATTGCATGCGGAAACTGGAGCATCCAACTAGGCGTGGCAACGCATCTGTCCAGCCGAACGCGTGTATATGTACCGCCCGCGACCTTTTTCTCAAAGGTCCAGCTGTTCCCCTGGTAGCCTATGTCCACCAATCCGCAAGTGTCTATAGCATCCCTGAATGCATCCATTTGAGCTTGGCTCCCCTCTCCGACCCCGTCGTACTCTTGGGCCAACAACACTTTGTTGAAATCGCCTATTACTGCCCATGGGAGGTTACTAGATCTGGCTATTCCTCTCAACATGTTCCACGTTTTGTATCTCTCTGGGACTTGTGCTTCTCCATAAACAAAAGTTACTCTACTAATAGAACCACCATCCTCAACAGTTACATCAATATGATACTCAGAGTAGCCAATAACTTCTACCTTTATTGATTAATTCCAAAAAATTCCTAGTCCACCACTTCTTCCAGAACTACTGATAGCGAAACTCTTATCAAACCCTAAGGTACCGGCTAGATTCTCCACTCTGGAGCCCTCTATTTGTGTTTCAAGGATACAAGCTATAGAGGGGGCAAATTGCTTCGTCATATCGCGAAGCTCACGAACTGTCGAGGGTTTGCCAGCCCCTCAACAGTTCCAACATAGGATATTCATTGCGCTAGGCGCACCCCCCCTTGGAGGCCCACCAAACACGCATCGGTATTTTTGGTCGCCGATGTGTTCTTACCAGTCGGTTGCTCGCTAGTTGATGAACTTGACTTGGTTCTTTTCGGATCCTGCTTCAATGATGGACTAGGAGGCACCTCCGGTTGTGGTGGCATCAACGCCTTGGTCGTGTGATCTGGTATGGATGTCGACTTGTGTATGACCGTCGAGTTGGCTACCGCTGCAC